TCAGCCCACCAGGGGGCGGGCCTGGCTGGCATGTGGTGCTGGGGGATTGAACCGCGGTCCCTGTGCTTTGCTAAGCTTGTTCTAAGTAGGTGTTCCAGACCACTGAGCCATCTCACCAGCCCCTTGGCCTCATTCCTAATGCAGTATCCAGACCAGCAGCAGGGTGGACTCGAGGGGGCATGGTCACTGCCGGGAGGGAAGCAGAATCCGGTCCGGGCACACTGCTCTGCCGCTCCTGGCTGGGGGCCACCCAAAGGAGGCCTCTCCCTTAGCCCTTTGACCCCTGTCTTGGGCTGGCAGGGCTGGTGCAGGGGGCTGGGCTATGCACCTAGCTGCAGGTGCTCTGGGGCAAGGCTGCATGGGCGCAGTGCCCAGGGCTGGGCACTGTGCCATGGGCTGGCCACTGTGCAGACTGCTTGCTCTTTGGTCTGGTGCTTGGAACTTAGCTGCAGCTGGAGCGCTGGTGTGCACCCCACCTGGGGCATGGTGAGTCAGCGTCCCAGGCAGGTGTCCATGCTGCAGCCCTCACCATCCCCGCTGGCCTCAGCCCCTTCTGGCTGGTCGCCCACACTAGCTCAGCCTGCCTGGTCCCTTCTAGGGTCAGGAGGTTTTGGAACTTGAGAGGGGTGGCCATTGCAACTGGTGGCTGTGCTGAATTGTTTTGATTTCAAATGTTTGTTTTAGCCCTATGTAATACTGCTTGGGAAGCTGAGACAGGAGGATTTTGAGTTTGAGGCAACCCATACCCGATGACGGCCCTTGAGCCCTGGTAGGCCCTTGGCTGACTTTGTTCTTGGGGAACAACTGCTCACTGCTGACAGGGTTCCGGACAAAGTCTGGGTGTAGCACAGTGGCACAGCTCCTGCCCAGCATGTGCAGCATGGGTCCCTGAGATGCAGCGGACAGCTGTCACAGGTGAGCTGGGCCACCTCTGTGACTGGGTGCTGGGCTGTGCGCAGAGCACACCGGATCTCTATGAAGCCACCATCTGGGGACAGGCTGTCCTCTGCTCAGGTGGGTGGGGATAGTTTATTCACTTATCAAACCCTTAAGTGCTTACCCGGTGCCAGGTCCAGGTTTTAGTTTCCAAACTCAGCAGCAAACTTGATGCCTTTCTGAAGCTTCCTGGGCAATGAGTAAATTAACATAAATTACCATGGCAACGGGCAAAAAGGAACAAGAAATAGTCACAAGTAGTAAGAAATTTTTTTTTTTTTTTTTTTTGTCCAGAACCAGGGATTGAACTCAGGCCCTTGTGTTTGCCAGGGAAGTGCTTATTCCACTGAGCCATCTCCCTGGCCCCAGTAGTAGGAATTTAATCTACTATCATCATTGTCTTTTCATTTTGATGAGACAGGTAGTTCAGGCCTGTGTATTTCAGGCTGATGTTGTCAAGTCTTTTTTTTTTT